GTTGGAAGTCGCCCATGCCCATAAATCTAAAAGCATGTTATTTCTTCACTTTGCTTATAAAGTATTTATATCGTTTTTACCACTCAAATTCAGCTTAAAAATATTTCCTCGGCAAAAGTATGATTAGTGTTGACAATTTCGAGCAGCTTTAACCTAAGACTAAATTCAGTCGCATGGCAAATTTGTTCTTCTTTAATTTCATTTTAAAGCAAAGAAACTAGTGGCAAAACGTACAATAAGTCAGTAAGCCTCGGTTTGGCTCAAAGTTTATTGCAGGTAACATTCCAACACATAATACGGTTAAAAAACAAATATCAAAAAGTTCACATATGTGGGGACACGTGCTACTATAGATTATTTCTCATTTTCACTGCACACTTATTTTATGCTTCGACGAGAAGTTGTTTTATTTGACGAATTGAATCTGGATCAACGCCACAGCATCCACCGATCCATTTCACTCCGGCTTTAAGATAATTAGAAACAAACTGGACGATTGATTGACCATCTCGATTGTACTGCCTATTTCAGAAATAAAAACAAATGGAATCTTAAAAGCGTTTAACATTTAGACTTATGACTCTGACAATGTTTTCTGCTGAATTCACCTTAATTTTTCATTCCACGTGTTGCCCGCGTTCGGATATACTATGATATCACGATCAATGTTCGAGATTCGTTCCACTATTGGCTCAACTAACGTCGGATCAACACAATTCACACCGGCAGCAATTATTTGTTTTGATTTCAAACAAACATTAACAGCATCTTCAATCGGTTCGCCATATGCTGTTGATTTTGTGTCCTGAAATTAGATAAGAATATATACAAGTCAATATATACAATATATACAAGGGAAAAAACGTTCCTTTTTTCCGTGCTATCACGATGGAATATGACTAAGTTGGATGTTTGTAACTCATAAACTAAGAAGTTTTTTCAAAAACAGTTGTTATCAGCCAATTGAACAGGCTCTGTTCGTTCTCTGTAAAATGATTGTAATTAGTGATCACTTTTATTATGCATTAACCGGAAAAAATTTGATAGAAGATCAGAATGTTAGTTATATGAGCAACAGTTAAGGATACCCCTCCTCTCCAAGCATAAACTGGAAAGCCTTCTCCATTCCAGGACTAATTGAAAACTCAATTGAGCATCTTTTCATTTTTGTTGCAACCCCCTAACTATAAAGATTGTCGAGTTTTTTAGAAAACTCGCTTTTTGATATCGTTCTATTACGACCTCTCGATAACTTGATCCGATCGACTTCAAAACTTTATCATAAATAGTAAACAATATTTCCAGATGTAAATTCTTTTTCCTTCTATCATCTTTTCTTTCCAAATTATACCAAAAACACTGAAACAACGTCTTAAAATCCAGGTTTTTCAATCTTAAAGTTTCTGTAACTGAAAAAGAAAAGATGATAGAACGAAATAAAATCTACACCTGTGACTAGATGGAAGGGACTGTTGAAAAAACATGCAGACAGAAAAACACATTTTGAGCGATAAAAATCATTTCAAGCACTCGACAATGTTATTTGTGGTCATTAATGACTTTAGCGAGTATCTGATGTACATTTAACATTGATGTTATCTTAAGTGAGTATCTGGATAAAGCTAATGCTATATTAGGAGATAAACATTCATCTGAGTTAAGGAATAGAAACTTAACTGATGAAAGAATTAATTGACCAATTACTGAAATTAAGAGAGACCAAATAATCAGGGTAAAACACTGTGATTTAAGGCAATTCATGACCGGTTCACATACACCAGACGCTTACTTCCTACCTAAGATGCACAAATGTACTCTTCCTGTTCGTCCCATTACTTCTAGTTATAGCGCTTATAATCATAACACGGCTAAATCGTTGGCTTACTTATTATTACAAGCAATGTCAGAGGCTGATTCATATATGAAAGATTCTTTTGTATTTGTTGATAGAATTAA